CAATCATTTCTCAGCCCAGATCATGACTCCCAACAGGTCTCGGGAGAGACAGAAGAGAAAAAGACAAGCAGAGGGAGAAAAAGATTAAAAAGGAGATGGGGGGAAAAAATTTAAAAAAAAAGGAGATGGGGCGATACTCTCTGATTCTTCCTGCCTACATCTTCCACATCCTGAATGAGAGGAACTTGTATTTTTGTAAGAAATTCCTTGTTATGTCATTCATTTATTCCTCAGTCCCCTTGTCTCCCTTCACATCACCGGGAACCAGCCAAGAATGCTTGGTGACAGTGTGTAAAGCTTCCTTCCATATTTCCCCCCCTCCATTTTTATAATAGCAGTGTTCTACAGTATTTGTCCTTTTGTGTCAGGTTTATTTCACTCAGCACTCTGTCCTCTACATGCATCCATGCGACCTGGTATTTCTAGATTTCTCTACTGCTTCTCAGGGTTGTATTTTGTGTCCCACAACATTCTGTGTCAGCATACTTCTGACTTTTTCTTTTCCTTCCCACATCACTCTCCCTCATTTTATAGCTAAACAAGAGAGACGGAAATTCTAGAGAGGTGTACCTCCCCTAAGCTCTCGTGGCTTAATGGTAAGGAGTTACACAGCCAACCCAAAGGCAGAGAATTAAGATCCACCAGCTGCTCCATGGGCGAAAGATGGGCAATCTCCTATCGTGTGATTAACTGCCTCTGAAAACACACTGGAAAAGTCAGTTACGAATTAGTTGTGATTTGATAGCACATAACAGGAACAACATTCTACATCGGTCTATCTTCTGTTTTTATATATTCTGCAAAAAACGTTATTTTCTTTATGTCTATTGCTCACCTCTCCCTCCCTTTTATCTCTTTTAACCCTCCAAGATTGTCCTGTATGTAAATTGTATTCTTCCTTTTCCTTCCTTCCTTTCTTCCTTCCTTTCTTCCTTTCTTTCTTTTCCTCTTTCCTTCCTTCCTTCTCCCCCTCCTCTTCCTCTTCTTTCTTTCTTTGCTTTCTTTTCTTTCTTCCTTCCTTCCTCTTTCTCTTTCTTTCTTTCTTTTCCTCTTTCCTTCCTTCCTTTCATCCTTCTCCTCCTCCTCTTCCTCTTCTTTCTTTCTTGCTTTTCCTTCCTTCCTTCCTTTCCTTCCTTCCCCTTTCTCGCTCTCTTTTTCCCTCTCTCTCCCTTCCTTCCTCCCCTTTTCTTTTTCTTTTCTTTCCTTTTCCTTCCTTCCATCCACGTTGATGGTCTACTACCATAATTGCCCTTTTTTTGTTTGCTTTTTGTTTTTTCTTTTCTTATTGTGCACCGACGAATTGGATCCAACTGGCCCAAGGAGAGATTGATCCTCCTCCTCCAGTGGAGCATCTGGGGGATTCGAACCACACGCCTTCAGGATTGCAGCGTGGCTTCTTGCCACTAGGCCACCAGAGCTCCCTCATAATTGTCCTTTTGTGACACATGACTCAGCAGCATCTGCCCTCATCCGTGCTGTGCAGTGTCTCATTCGTCCTTCACTGTCTCTAGTGCCCCGTTGCGTGAGCGTACCAGTTTCCTGCGTGAATGTACCACTGTTGCTCCAGCCATTCGTTCAGTGCTCATCAGCACTCGGGTTGTTTCCAAATCTTCACTATTGCAAATAAAACTGCTATAATAATAAACAATGGATTACAGTTCCTTTGCATCCTGCTTTTGTCCACTTTGTGTGTTAACAGTTGAGAGAGTTTCTAGGCGCCCTGGGGAAACAAAACGTTTGTGTGACTTGCTTTAATGCGACACTAAGTGCAGAGTCCAACACGCTATCTCTGCGGTGTACCTGGATAAATGTGTCACCATATGTCACAGTCCTTTGAGCAGCTCTGCAGGTCTGTTGGGCTCAGTCACTCACTGTTCCCTGCTCTCTGGCCTTTGACTCTTGCCTGGGGGACCACCCCCCTTCATTCGCAGGGCTGCCTCTCAGGTACCAAAGGTGCTGGACCTGCTAAGCGGAAGAGTGGTTTTTCAGGTCAGCAATTTTCCTTACTTTATCATGAATTAAATGAGTCCACTGCATTCTCTCCGTATATGGACTCTGGGACCACCTTGGCACAATCTCAGCTCTGGCCCTTCCAGCCTCAAACTGAGCAACCTTGACAGAGGTTCTGAACCTCTCTGTGCCTCCATCTCCTCTTCTGCTGATGGGAGATGCATTTGAGTTAACTACAACTTCACAGAGACCCCATGAATAGGGCCATCCTTACAATCTCCACCAGCGAGGTGAGGTTCAAATCTAACATCTACTGGTCAAATGTTTGACTTCAGCCCTCTCTCCCCCCAAAAAATTCCCTCACTGTTGTCGAGTCAATTTCAACCCATGAATACCCTCCACTGAGTCTCTGAAGCTATAAATCAATGTATGCTTGTATTTTAATTGTGATTGAGTATTCTAAGTGCTAAGAATCTCCTTCAAGTTGCTTATCACCATCTAGATATGTCTGTTGTTTGGCTGCACCTTGGACCACAGAAATATTCAAAGGCTCAAATCAAAGGGCGGCCATGTCTTACTGTATGCGCCTTGGAGGTTTAATATGTTTAATATGTGCAGCTACAAGGGAGCTCTGGTGGCTTAGTCTGCAGAGAGCTGTGCTTCTAACCCAAAGGCTTAGTCCCTGTGGCAGTTCAAATCCACTAGTGGCTCTGAGGGAGAAAAAAGGGGCAAATTACAGCCTAAGGAAACCCACAGCTATTTACAGCCTAGGAAGACCCGCTGTGTCAGCTACAAGTTGGTTCTGGTTAAGGACAGTGAGTCTAAGTTTTGAGTTTTGAAACTGCATGGTGGGGTGGTGCACCTACGGCTTCCTGTGAATGGGATGTCTGTAAATACTGGGAATGCCTGAGATCAGCAGTCTGTGAGCACGTGGTTCTTACAAGTCTCTTCGGAGTGTGATTGTTGTTAGGTGCCATCAGTCGACCACCACTCATAGCGATCCTATGAGCAATAGATCTGAACCCTGCCGTATCCTGTGCCGTCCTCACCATCTCCAACACTTTCAAGTCCATTTTAACAGCCGCTCTGGCAAGCTCTGGTGGCCTAGCGGCAAGAAGGTGCACTGCAGTCCTAGAGGTGCTTGGTTCGAATCCACCAGATGCTCTTCTGGAAAAGGAGGGGCAATCTCCTCCTGTACCAGTCAGATCCTATTTGACGGTACACACACACAAAAATAAGATTAAAAGCAAAACAAAAAAACCAGTCACTCTATCAATCCATCTTGTTGAGGGTCTTCTCTTTTACTGAACCCCTCCTCTTCCCAACATGATGTCTTTTTCCATAGACAGGCCCCTCTTGACACGTCCATGCATGTGAGATGAAGTTTCACCAACTTTGCATGTAAGGACCATTCTGGTTGCATTTCTTTCAAGACATATTTGCTTTCGCTCTTTTCTACAGTATATTTAATGCTCTTGGCCAATATCATAATTCAAAGGCGTGGACTCTTTCTTAGTCTTCCTTATTGATTGTCCAACTTCCAGATGCATACAAAGAAACTGAAAATACCGTGACTTCGATCAGGTGCACCTTAGTCTTTAAACTGACATCCTTGCTGTTTAACACTTTGGAGAGGTCCTTGACAGCAGATTTTCCCAACGCAGCACACCTTTTGGAGTTTTTTGGGTTTTGCTATGGTTTTTAAAATTTTTTTAATTAATTAATTTTAATGAAAGTTTACAGAGACTTTAGATTTCCATTCATTTATTGTTGCCCTTTTCCCCCTGTCCAACCTCCCCACCAGTTCACTCTTCTCTTTGAAAAGTAAAAGAGAAATGCTTTCATTGTTATACAATCCCTCCCCCCTAGACCACTCCACTATGTAGCCTTCGTTCTGGACTCCTATCATGACAATAATACCTAATCACATATCGCTTTTAAACAATTCTCTCCCTCATCTGTTTCAATGCAGTATACATTATTTATCCTATCTTTTTCAGTCTCACTCCAACCCCCATGTCTGTCCCATTTTACAACAGTGGCCCTATGCAGTATTTGTCCTTTTGTGCTGAGATATTTCACTCAGCATAATGTCCTCCAGTATCATCCATCTTGCATAATATTGCATGAGTTGCTTGTTTTTCAATGCAGCATAGTATTCCATTGTGTGAATATGCCACAGCTTCTCTATCCATTCCTTTATTGATGGGTGGAGTATTTGTTATGTATGTTTGAGTTGGAACCGATTCATAGTAAACCTTCCAGAGAGGTTTTTAGAGGCTGGTGGATTGCAGCTTCTTATCACTAGGCCTTTAGAGTTTCCCTAATCTTACTTGGGTGTTTATCAAACAGTGACGATTATCTAATCCCCTGCCAAGGTAAAGTTAGGTCAGTTCTCTGTCAATTGATTCCTTCCTTCCTCCCTCCCATTCTCTTTTTTCCAATTGATTTCTAGAATAATTTACAATGTGTGTTTCACAGATAGTTCCATTGCTAACCTCAAAGTTATCAGTTCGAACCCGCCAGCAAGCATTTCCACAGGAGAAGACACGCAATCTTCTGTCGTCGGAAACCTGCTGGACAGTCAGCGAAGAGTTGACTCCGACAGGAAGGGACTAAGTTTAAATTGCATCATAGACTTCCTAACTTAGTGAATCTTCCTAATAAGTGTCCCTTATGGTTTTAGGGGCACCATTCTCACTTGGAACAACTAGTCGGTTCAAACTGCAAGCAAGTCAATGCTTTTGACGTCTGAGCCAACAGAGAAAGTCCCTTCAAATGCGGCGCTTCCAGGACGCTGCAGCGCTAAGAAATTAAACCCTTTTTGAGCTCTCCAGGCCCCAAGGCAGGACCAATGTTGCGCTCTTCCAATGGCAACGCTAGAACTAATGTTCTGGGCGTGGCCTCAATAAGCATTGGTTAACGGAGAGTTAACGGCCAATGAGGAGCAGCATGAGCTCAAGGGGGTGGAGTCTCCCATGCGGGCGGGGCATCATGTCTTCAATTTAAGCTTCTTGGTTCCGGGCCCTTTGAGACTCTGGTTGGCAGGTATGGCGCTCCGTTGGGGAATCGTGTCCGTCGGCCTCATCTCCAGCGACTTCACGGCCGTCCTGCAGTCGCTGCCTCGCTCCGAACATCAGGTCCACTGTCCTCTGCAGTCCTGGGGATGAGGGGACGAAGGAAGCCGAAAGAGTAGAGTAGGGATCTCCCTGCTCTGCACGCTGCCCTGTAAACGCGAGTTATTGAGGTTTGGGGGTGGGGTAGTCTTGATCTAAGCTGTGAAAGAAGCAATTTAGACTTTCAAACCCATTGAGACAGCGATCCTGTAGAACAGAGTAGAACTTTCCTATAGGTTCCTAAGGCTGTCTGTAAACCCTTCTTTTTTTGTAAACAAAAAAATCTTTAGAGAAGCCGACCACCATTACTTCCCACCCCAGAGCGCAGCAGGTGGATCTGACAGCAAACTTTTGGGTTATCAGCCCTACACTTAACTCACTGCGCCACCAGGGCTCCTAATTTAAGAGGTTTGACCCATGCACAGCCTCCTCATTGTTCCAGTCCTCTCTGTCTTGGAAGTTGTAGCCTGTCCCTGTCACCAGGCCTCCTCCATCACCACTCCACCATCCACCTGTTCCCCTCCCCGCCCTGCGCCTGCCTTCTCCTTGAACCCGATCCTTTATCTTGAGCATGGCTCCCCTCCAGGTGGTGGCGGTGGCAGCCCGGGACCTAAGCCGGGCGAAGGAGTTTGCTCGCAAATATGACATCCCCAAGGCATATGGCTCCTACGAGGAGCTGGCCAAGGACCCGAACGTGGGTGAGTGGTTCTCCTACGCAGCCCGGTTTCCTGGGAAGCGGAGCGATAAGAATAAGTTTAGTGTTACAGTTCACTTAGGGCCAGGCTTCTGCCATTGCATTTCTGAAGAAACACAGGGCGCCCTGCAAGGATTCAAACATAGGCAAGCTTCTGGGTTTGAAAGTGGTGAGCATTAAGAAGCAAGGCTTACGTTGTGAGCGCGACCCTGGCTCAGATTAACTCCCCCCCCAAAAAAAACAAAAACAAAAACAAAAAAAACCCCCAAAACAAAAAACCCATCTGTTGGCATCTAGTTCATTCCAACTTGTCAACCCTCGGTCAGTTTCCAAGGCTGGTATATTGTTACAGGAGAAGGCAGCTCGTGGATTCGAAGTACAAACCTTTTAGTTAGCAGACCAATACCTAAGGCTTTATGCCACCGTAGCTCCTCATTTACTGAAGTCCACTTTACCTGCAATTTACAGTATTTCATCTGCAAAACCTGCAAGGTCATGTTTATTTAAGGTTGTTTCAAGGTCGCTAGGTGGCGCCAACAGCCGCGTGTTGAACTATTACATGAAAGGATGATGGTTCAAACATAACCAAGTACTTCTGAAGGGTGTTCTGCTTACTAACTAAAAGGCCAATAGTTTGAATCTACCTTCTGCTCAACCAGAGAAAGCTGTAACAACAGTCCCCTCTTATAGGGGACACAGGCTTGAAAACTATAGGCTTGATGAATCAAAATTAATTGGATCATAACTTTTGTTTATACTGTCCAGTCAGAAAGGGGCTCACAACTGACCCTCCAGTGGGTCTTTAGAGGCTGTATATCGCATAGGAGGAGAGTCCCCATCTGTCTTCCACGGAGCAATTGGTGGGTTCAAACCATCAGCCTTTGGGGTAGTAGCGCCAGTTTTCTATTAGGCTACCAGAGCTCCCTGAATAGTAACTAGCAGTAACTACAGTGTGTAAGGGATGATTTTAAAAAACTTAATGGTGACAGCAACTGAGTAGATCAGAACCCAATTGCTGCCTAACTCATGGAGACCCGGTGTATGTCAGAATAGAACCGTGCCCCACAAAATAGTCAGTGGCTCGTTTGTTCAAACGTAGATTAGGCTTGAACCACAAACTTTTCAGTTAGCCTCCAAAACTCGATGAGCGGTAACTCTGAATCGGAATCGACTCAAAGACAGTGAATCTGCATTTCTTTTTAATCTGCCTTTTTTTAACATAATTCCGTTTTATTTCTGCATTTTTAAAGATTACTTCATTATTGTTGTCTGTCATCGAGTCAGATCTGACTCAAATTTGATTACAAGAAGTTGACCCTCCAGAGGGTTTATAAGAGGCAATAAATCATAGGGGAGGAAATTGCCCATTTTTCTCCTGCGAGGCAGCTGGTAGATTCGAACCATTTGTCTTTGGATTGGTATTACAATTCCTTACCACTAAAGCACCAGAGTGACGTCATTGCTCTTCACCCCCCCCCCTTTCTAGAAGTTTAGGGTCCAATCACATGGCCTTTCTCTTTGGTGAGACCGGCCCCTGGCTCCCTGATATGTGGAGGGCGTGACCTCCACCTTGTGGGCGGGGCTAAGGCACATCGTGGGCGGGGCTTATGGAGTCTTGACTTCTCTCCACATCCTAGAGGTGGCCTACATTGGTGCCCAGCACCCCCAACACAAAGCTACGGTGATGATGTGCCTTGCGGGTGGCAAGGCGGTCCTGTGTGAGAAGCCCATGGGTGTGAACGCTGCAGAAGTCCGAGAAATGGTTGCCGAGGCCCGATCCCGAGGCCTCTTCCTCATGGAGGTGAGGACACAGAGCCCCTCCAACATCCAACACGGCTGCCTGCCAGTAGTAAACATGGCTTTCGGTGGCTCCTTGGGGGGAAAAAAAACACAGGGCTTGCCAATAGTTAAGATGGACACACGTGTGACCCAGAGTCCATGGATTTGCCCAGGGCAGAGATGAACTATGATATGGAATATACTGTTAGCATCTCTCAGGGTGAGAGCTGTTGCATTTGAACTCTGGCAGTCATGGCTACCAGACGGATCCGTTGTCAGTCTTCAGAAAATGATGCTTTGGTGAAAATGGTGCAGATGACAAGGGACCCAGTTTTCGTGGATTTAGAGGAATTGTTATTATTTTTACATACCATTGAGTCAGAAGCAACTCATAGCTGACCCTCCATTGAATTTGCAAAGGCAATAAATTACAAGGGAGGAGATTGCCCGTCTTTCTCCTGTGGGCAAACTGGTGGATTTGAACCTTGTGCCTTTGGGTTGGCAGCTCAACTTCTTATAACGAAGCTACAAGAGCTGAGGCAGAAACAGGCAAGGTTTTGATCTGTTGTACATAAGATTTCTCAGTAACGCCTAACAATAATATCAAGTCGTTGATTTCAAACCCTTAACACAGAACTTCCCTAAAGGGTTACCAACGCAGTAATCTTTATGGAGATAGATTGCCTCATCATTGTTCAAGAGCAGCTGGTGGACTTGAACCACCAACCTAGGAGACTACCTAGCCCCATTTCCCTGTAACCTCCTTCTGCTCTCTCTGGTTCACAGGCCATCTGGACCCGCTTTTTCCCTGTCTCAGAGAGTCTCAGGGCTGTCTTGGCACAGGGAACACTGGGAGACCTTCGGATGGCCCGGGCAGAGTTTGGGGTGGACCTCACCCACGTGCCCCGGGCTTTGGACTGGGCACAGGCTGGCGGGGGCCTGCTAGACATCGGGATCTACTGTGTGCAGTTCATCTCCATGGTGTTTGGTGGGCAGAAGCCTGAGAAGATTTCAGCCATGGGAAGGCGCCATGAAACCGGTACGGATTAACAAAGAGGGAGTGTTGGGGGCCAGGTGGCTCAGTGGTTAGATATGCAGCTGCGGACTGAAAAGTCAGTGGTTTGGACTCAGCCAACAGCGCCTTGGAAGAAAGGCCAGCAGCTATCTCTCTGCTTCTGTAAAGATTATTGCCTCAAAAACACTACTGTGTCAGGTGTGGTTCCTATAAGCAGAAATCAACTCATTGGCAATAAGTTTTTTAAAATTCAAAGGCCAGAGAGAGAAAGCCTTCCCGCAGACTCGGCTGTTGAACTGTTTTGACTCGTAGAGCCCCACTGAAGGGTTTCCTGGCTATACAGCTTTTTTTTTTAAAAAAAATTCTTTTTATTAATTTTAATTAAAGTTTACTGAGACTTGGCATTTCCAGTCATTCTTGGTTGCACTTTTTCCCCCACCCACCCCCTTTTCCCTAATTCACTCTTCTCCTTGAAAAGAAAAACTCATTGTTATGCAATCCCTCCACCCAAGTCCACTCCACTGTGCAGCCTTCACTCTGGACTTCCGTAATGACAAGAATACCCAATCATATATCCCTTTTAAACAGTTCTCTCCCTCATCTGTTTCAATGCAGTATACATCATTCCTCCCCTCACTTCTCTGTCTTCCCTCAACCCTGATGTCAGTCCCATTTTACAACAGTGGCCCTATGCAATATTTGTCCTTTTGTGACTGAGATATTTCACTCAGCATAATGTCCTCCAGAGTCATCCATTTTGCATAATATTTCATGAGTTCCTTATTTTTCAATGCTGCATAGTATTCTATTGTGTGAATATACCAGAGCTTCTCTATCCATTCGTTTGTTGATGGGCACTTGGGTTGTTTCCAGCTCTTTGCTATTGCGAACAAAGCTGCAATAAACATGGGTGTGCCTATATCTGTTTGGATGACAGCTATGGTTTCTTTAGGGTCAACTCCCAGTAGTGGATACGGTGTCAAATTGTATTCCTATTTGCAACTTTTTGAGAAAGTGCCATACAACCTTGCATAGTTGTTGCACCATTTTACACTCCCATCAACAGTGAATAAGGGTTCCAGTTTCTCCACAACCTCGCCAGCATTTGATGTTTGCTGCTCTGTTAAATTTTGCTATTCTTACTGGGGTGAGATGATATCTCATAGTTATTTTGATGCTAAAAATCTTTTCATGAGGAGAATGTGCATTTTGGTCCTTTGTGGTGACTGGTGGACTCAAACTTCTGACCATTCTGGTTGCCACCCAGCATGGAAACAACCATGGTGACAACAGAAGCCCTGGTTGGCCTGGGAAATGTAGATCTCTGTTTTGGGGCGTTGGTGGCAGAGTTTTTAAATGTTTTATTGTTAATCACAAAGTTAGGGATTCGGACCCACCAGCTGTTGTTCTGTGGTGGCCTGATCCCATATGAGTACAGCATGGGAAACTCTGAAGGACAGGTCAGCTCTGTTCGGCCGGGTCTCTATGATTTGAAATTAATTCTCTCGTAATAGTACTCGAGAGTGATCACGCAGAGCTGGAGTCAAGTCTTCTTGCTAAGAGGAGTGAGTTGGACAGCACCAAGAACTTCCCACCTGAAATCAGAGTGGATGAGAACTGGTGTGCTTGGCAAGCTGTGCACTGCGATTCCCTGTGTGAACTTGGCCAAGACACTCAACACCTCTAAACGTTAGTGAAAATGTCAACAACTGGGCGCTCTGGTGGCCTAGTGCAAGACGCTGCACTGCAATCCCAGAGGTGTGCGGTTCGAATCCACCAGATGCTCTGCTGGAGAAGGAGGGGCAATCTCTCCCTGTACCAGTCAGATCCGATTTGACGGTAAATACACACACACACACGCACACATTTTTAAAAAATGTCAACAGTTGAGATTTCGTTAAGGGTTAATGAAAATGAATATAGAGGAAAATGTAAACAGCTGATCTCATAAATTTTACATTTTTTAAAATTTTCTATTTTTTTATGTTGCCTTAATATTTGCTATATAATAGACTGGCCCCAAATGTCAGTGCCTTAATGTTACAATTATTTCTTTTTTTTTCTTTGCTTTTTAAAAAATTATTTGTGTGTGTGTGTGTATGTGTGTATACCGTCAAATAGAATCTGATGGGTACAGGAGGAACAATCATTTCTTGACTTGTGCCTCTGTGGGTTGGCACTTTGGGCTGTGCTCAGCCCGGCTGGTTCTTCTGCTCGGCTCCTGCATACGAGTACAGTCAGCCAGCAGCGGCCTGGGGCCGGATGGTCAAGGACTGCCTCACCTGTCTGGACTTGCAGGTGGCAGGTTATTTGTCTGGGGACCCTGGGGTAAACCCACGTATAACAAAACCTTCAATCCTTTCTGTGGGTGCTTTGCAGGCCTTCTGTCTTGCCCACGGCTCCTCAGGCCTCCTAGGACCCCAGAGGCCAGGCCTGGCCCCTGATCTCTGTCTCCCCTTCCCCCCCCGCCCCCGCCAGGTGTGGATGACACAGTGACCGTGCTGCTGCAGTACCCAGGAGGGGTCCATGCTAGCTTCACCTGCAGCATCACCGCCCCGCTGACCAACACGGCCTATGTGACCGGCACCAAGGGGATGGCCCAGGTGAGGCTGGCGTGGGGGGACTCCAGGCTGGGCATCGAGGCAGTGGGAGAGGGACACCTCGGCTATGGGAGGCTGGATGTGGGCTGACCAGTGCTTTTCGCAGTTACTAAGGAATCCATCTTCCTGAGTAACCAGGCCGACCGATATGGTGTTTGGACCCCTGAGCTCTCTCTGGAGAGTGGACAATATCAATTTACAGCCACTGAGTCAATTCCAACTCACAGTGACCCTGCAGGACAGAGTGCAACTGCCCCATAAGAATAGCTAGACTTGGGGGAGCTCTGGTGGCCTAGTGGCAAGAAGTTGTACTATAATCCCAGAAGTCAGCGGTTCAAATCCACCAGATGCTCTGCTGGAGAAGGAGGAACAATCTCCTCCTGTACCAGTCAGATCTGATTTGACGATACACACACACAAAATAATAAAA